TTTTTTTATTTCACCCACAAAATCTATTTTACCTGGTGAGCCATCTTGTCATTGATCAGAAATGTGTCAAACTGAATTGTTCCACTTGACAAAAAGGCATATTTTCATTTGTTTTATAATATATTTTATGACCCAGAAATGGACTAATAAAGGGGTAGAAAATGAATGAATGAATTATAATATATTTTATGATTTATGTGTATGCAACAAAACAAAATGGTGAACATGAGAGCCACAGGACACGGTACTATTGTTTTAATTGGAAATGTACAAATATGCACTGTAAAGAAAGGGGTGTTAATATTAATAGTTAAGTTATTTTAACACACAGAGCATTTTCAACATTTTGGAGAGTAAAGTGTCTCTATCAGTGGCGTTAAAAGTAAGTTTAAAACTCTGCAGAAGCACAGTGACCTTTGACCTCCACAGCAGTGAGAAAACTCTACTGTAGCTTACTGAAGTCTGGCACAATATTGAACAAATCCTTTGACACTAACTTTGAGAGGGACCAAATATGATCTAAAATTCAACTCTATAGTGTCACATTACCTTCTGTTTTTACTGTGTGCTGGGATCAAGTTAGAAAAAACCAAAACAATTGGAGTGTTTTTGTCTACGTTGAAACACTGTAACGGGTCACTTTGACACGAGGATTAAAATGACCTGTTTTGTTGCATTTGCTACGACGCTGGACATGTGCCAGACTCCGGCTGTCTCCCACCGTGAGCCGCTTCTTCTCTGAGCTGCTTCAAATTGTCATATTGTTTGCAGAGTGTAACTTTTAGTTTCATAAATAACACGTGGGTTGACTTCCTATAAAAGCAAAGTTTGTGAATAAGTCAGACTGTCACACGCTGGTCACTGTTTGTCCTTTTGGCTGTCTCTTGTCTTTTTGTTGATTTTATGACAGGCTTTCGTTTTGTGAATAGATTGAAAGTTTGCGTGTTCTCCCTGTGTCTGTGTAGGTTCCTCCGAGTGCTCCGGTTTTCCTATATATAGGTATGAATGATTGAGTGAATGGAGGGTGTTGATTGGGGCTTTGATGCATCAGTGTGTTCGGCGTCTCGAGTCTGTGTGTGGAGAGAACAGAAAAATATCTGAACATTGTTGTGCGCTTTGGATGACCTTGGTCTGTAAAGCGCGCTATATAAATAAACATTACTTACTTATACGCTTCAAAAGGGAACTTGTTACTTGTGTCTGTGTGACTCTCACTCGCATGCCATTTGGAGGCAGGGATTCTCAAGTCATGATAATCTTGTTTTTTTTTCACTTTTGTTGTGTTTGTTTAGTCTGGTTCTTCCCCAGGGGGCGCCGTGATAACAAACCCGAGCATGTAGGATTAGCACCTCCTCCTGTCAGGTCGGCATCTGTGCTCAAGCTTCAGGTGAGCAGTTTGGGTCACTGCCTTTACCTGCACTTTGTCCCAGACACAAACAGTGTTATCTCAGGACCCCAATGCATTCAATACAAACCAATCATCTCAATCCTGACGACAATCAGGAAGTACAATCATAACAGTCCTGGTCTCAGGCCTCTGCACCGGCTTCCTGTGGCTCAGAGAATAGACTTTAACGCTTTCATGGTTTCCTCAGCCATTTGGTGGAGTCACTGTATCTGATGCTGGGAACAGAAATCTACCTCATAGGGGCATTTCTAACACTTGGTTTGAGGCACTTTTACCATCAAACTGCATCTCAACTATTTATTAAAGGCCTATAATTAAACAACTATGGATTCAAAAGAAACTATCCGAAAATTGAAGGGCACCAAAGTATATCCAATGCCACACTGTATATGAGCCAACTCAGACTCTGAGGAGCACAGGGACTGGCCTCCTGCTTGGACTTTGAGGAGCACAGGGACTGGCCTCCTACTGGGACTCTGAAGAGCACAGGGACTGGCCTCCGGCTTGGACTTTGAGGAGCACAGGGAATGGCCTCCTAGTGGGACTTTGAGGAGCACAGGGACTGGCCTCCTACTGGGACTCTGAGGAGCACAGGGACTGGCCTCCGGCTTGGACTTTGAGGAGCACAGGGACTGGCCTCCTACTGGGACTCTGAGGAGCACAGGGACTGGCCTCCTACTGAGACTCTGAGGAGCACAAGGACTGGCCTCCTGCTGGGACTCTGAGGAGCACAGGGACTGGCCTCCGGCTTGGACTTTGAGGAGCACAGGGACTGGCCTCCTACTGGGACTCTGAGGAGCACAGGGACTGGCCTCCTGCTGGGACTCTGAGGAGCACAGGGACTGGCCTCCTGCTGGGACTCTGAGGAGCACAGGGACTGGCCTCCTGCTGGGACTCTGAGGAGCACAGGGACTGGCCTCCTGCTGGTGCCGAGAGTGAGGACTAAACATGGAGAGACAGTGTTTCAAAATCATGCAACTAAAATCTAGAAGAGTCTTCCTGAAAATGTGACACAGGCTTCTTCTCTGACAATGTTCAAATCCAGGTTAAAACAGTTCTCTTTAGCTGTGCTATAACTGAGGGATTTTATTTTCACTCTTTTGAAGGTACTGTGATTATTTATGTTTGAAATGTGTGGTTGTTTCTATCTGGTTTTGTTAAGCCTTGTGTATGAACTGTGCTATACAGATAAACTTGCCTTACTGTTGTGTCATGGGGATGTGCTTGGAATGTCCCTTGGTATGATATTAACATTTATTTCATCACAGGTAATTTCACTGCTAAAAAAATGTCACGTTACCTTTCTCACGCTTTCTACGTGCTAAAACTGGTGAATATCTGAAATACAGCAACAACAGTTTTTTGATGGGCTAATTGCTAAAGACCAAATGCTAACTGCTGACAGTAAACAGAACTCGCTCTTCTCTGTTGGAAAACCAAGCTGAACCAGAACCAGTCCAGAACCAGCACCTTGGAAAAAGGGCTTTAACTCTCATAAACAGACACAAGAAACAAGATTTACCAATGAGACAAAGTTAAATGTTTTGTCTTTGTTTTAAATAGATGCAAGAAATGTCTCCCTTGGAATCAGAGAATAAAGCAACAGTTCTTGAACTAAGACTAAATGGCTTTGTCCCATTGGCAAATCTTGTTTTAAGAAGGTCAGATTGAACTCAAATAAGATAAAACGATTCAAGCAATTATTAGCCCATAATTTATCACTTTTTGCAGTGTATATAATACTTTTACTGAACATTGAGTGAATAGAAAACACTAATAGTGATTTCCCCACCATGTCGACCCAATAGAGGTGTTAATGAGGCCTCCCCCGGGCAGGATCTATGGTCAGCTCTGGCTCTGCCTCCACAAGTGTGGAAATGGGGGCCATTACCTCCTGCTAATTCTGCATTGAAATGAATATGGACTAAAACAATGACTGTATTAGTTCATCTGGACTCCCATAGAGTCAGAGCTGCTCTTTGAAGACTGCTTCGGGACTTTCCTTTGTGATGCAGCAGGTGAGGGGGGTCCTACCTGGGGTTGACGGCCCAGAGAGGGACCTCAAACTGGGACAAGCGTCATGGGGCCATGTTGAATGTAGCAGTCGTTGGTGAATGAAGCCACAGAGGTGCAAAGAGCAGGTAGGGGCCGTCAGGTGCAGTGTGGGGGAAGATGGCCATTCTACTCTGTTTTCCCGCGGTGTTCAGACACTTTTTGTTGACACTGCCGGACTTCACAAATCAGGCATTTGTTTTGGCATTTACGGTGTAATAGAAACACACTACAAAAATCTGTTAAAAATAAGTCAAAAATCATCTGCACTGTACTCGTGGTGAGAATGCCCTGCACCTGGACACACCAACCACAGGGGCGGGGGTTGGTGGGCAGGAAAAAGAGCAGATCTGTTGAACTGAAGAGCACGGGTTCAGTTATTAAGTCTCGTTATCTGGGTCTTCTTAGTTGACAGGAACACTGGTGAAGGACGTTCAACTGCTACCACTTATGCTAGTCCTAATACTACTCATCTATTTTTTAATGTGACAATTGCCAATTTCATGCAATGTTGATGATCTGGAGATATCTGTGTAATCTTCCGACTTGAGAGTTGAGCAGCGTTCATTCCCACTTTTCCGAGTGAGAAGTTGCTTGAGGTTCTGAGATTGTATGAAAGCGCCAAGTGTGCATTAATGAACAGCAGGTGATGAAGTTTGGGTCCAGAAGTTACATTTCCCATTCAAAGTCCCCATAGAAAGACAAATCTAAATTTCTAAACAACAGAGGCTAAGCTACCAGCTAACTACTATCCACCATTAAATCTTAACATTTAGCTTAGATTTGTGGTTTTTAATCATTTTAATTATTTTTTATATAATTTGTAGAGGTAATTACTGGCCTGATAGAGCAGTGTCTATATTTTATCATTATCTTATTTTACTTCCTGAACCAGGAAGCTTCACCCACTTCACAGCACTAGAAAGCGGCTTGTATCTTGAGCTAATTTCCCTTCATCCGTTGCCTTCACATACAAGGCAATGATATTGACAAGGCATTCTATTTTCTCTTTTTTTTTTAAATATATGTTGTGTTTAGTTAGAAAGTTGCATTCATATTTATACAGTGGTACCACACAATAATTCTATTCAAACTTATTACAACTGATTATTTAGCCATCACAATTTAGTTTAATTAACAGTGATGCGTTATTTTCTGAAGCAGTTAAACAACATAAATGCCAATGAGTGAATACAACAGATGGATTTGTTGGCTGAAAAAGGCAAACACAGGTGAAAGGACGTGCTTGTGTGCAAACTATACACTTGTGTCCACACGAGACTGACACAAAGCCCAAACCCGTAAAATAAGATGAGTTTCTCTTTTAAAACCCCGGTCAAAAACATGTCTCCATGCACGGGGATGGGTGGGGGAAGGTGATGTCGTAAAGCGGATAGGAGAGAGGCGAGGGTGGGGGCCGGAGCGCACGGGAGGGGAGGGGGGAGAGCGGCTGTCGTGGTGCGCCTTTCTCACACAGACACACACACACACGCACACACACACACACATACACACACACACACACAGAGCGAGCAGGATCATGGCGGATGGCCCCAGGTGTAAGCGCAGAAAGCAGGCGAACCCGAAGCGGAACAGCGGTGAGTGGAGACACAAACTATGTCGTTACCCGCTTCTCTAGCGCACGATCCCGGGACGCGCGCACGGTTCCGCTGTTTAGACTGACTTTTTACGCACTGTCCCGGGTGTGGACCGTTATTACCTGGCTCCCCTATGCGCCTGCACCGTTATTCGAGCTATGGGGAGGACAACCACAGCGCCCCACCACGTTGCTCCGAGACTTACATGGAGTGGCTTTTGGGAGAGAGCTTTACGCGCGCGGGTTGGCACACTTTGGGAACACTTTTGGAACACTTTTAGCACCAAACGGCGTGGGGCTGAAGTTGGTTAAGAGTTGAGGCTGGACTGAAAAGCGAAGGCAGGATTTCAGGGCGGAGGTTTTGTGAATAGCCAGGGCCAAGCGCGCACACGTACGCGCACCCGCATTGTTGATTATCATGTGGTCCATAATAAAGTCATCGGTTTGGATACAGACGTCGTTTTCGCGTCGGTTATGTCACTGTGGTTAGGGCTGTTTACATGAGGTTTGGTTCAGACTTAGCACAGTTCTAGTTAGTCCTGATTTTGTTCTAAAGTTCCTGATTAGACCTGGGTTTGACCTGCTTTGTTAGTTTGGATCTAGTTTAGACTTGTTTTGTATATACCAAACGAGACATTTGGTTTCATGTTTATTTCATTATTACAAAAAGTGTGTGTGCAATATATTCCTTTTGAAGTAACTCATTTTAAAACGACATATTATTGCCATTTTAGCCATTTGCACTAAACGCCACGTTGGAAAGTAGGGTTCCCTGCATTTTAATCATTCTTCGAGCCCCCTGTCAGAAGCTGGAGGAGTGTTTTGAGTGATCAGTCCATCCAAGTTTAGCTTTAGCCTTGGTTCAGTGTCTCTCCCTGCCATGATCCCCAGCCTGCATACGGCCATGTGCAGTACTTTGTATCCGCTTTCAGTGTCACTTCTTCGGCTTGGGTTCACGCCTGCATCGGTGGCCAGGCAGCAGCGGTGCTTCGGTGCATAGCTGACCGTGTTTATTGCTCTCAGCTCGGGGTGTTGTGTGGGTTTGGTTCCGTTAGAAAGCACCGGACGTCACGGTGTTTGTTCTCTCTCTTTTGCGGCTGCTTATTCGTCCCTCCCCGGGACTCCCCACGCACATGTGTCGTTCGCATACCACCAGCTCCACATAAACAATATTTGCACTAATTATAATATTTGACACTTTGTTTGCTAGTTTTTGTCAGTTTGATTTCTTTTTTTTTTTTTTATAAAGTAGCAAGAATACAGTTTCGCAGTTTTGTTTTGTTTTGTGTAATGTGAGTAATAAAGTTGTAATACTTCAATATTAAATTCATAACTATTCCATAGTTATATTGTGTTGGACTTTTATAGCTAATTTAACTAGCAATAATCTAAATCCGCTTGGTTTTTTATTTACATTTTATTCAGACTTGCTAAGGTTTTGTTTTGGTATAACGGTCCTAGCTAGTTCCTGTTTGCTCCTAGCTTAGACAGTTTGGTCTTGATTTGATCTATTTTCAAACCTGCTTTGTTTTTGCCCCATGACTTTATGTGTACGCAATTAAATCTTGCAATAATACGATGTTTTTAAGCACTGTCAGGCATCTGTCTCAAATCTATGCCTGAAATACTTTTGACTCCTGCTGTATGCTAACTTACTGAGACACAAAGCCTGTATTTGAGCGTGGAAGGAGCTCTTTAAAGTGATTGAAAGCACCATCTGTTGAACATGGCACGTTTTGTGTTGGTTTTTTTCAACATTATGCAACATACAAAAACAAACACGTAGCTTTACTTTATTTGAACCCACAGAGCTAATATTGCAAATTCAACCATACATTTGTAGTGTACTAGTTAAGTGTGTGTACTTTTATACTTTGTTCTCTTTATTAAACTGAAGATAAGAAACTTTATTGTTTACACAATTTTAAGAACAACTAAAAAGTTTGTTCAGTACAAGTTTATCATATATAAGTTTATCCCTTTAATCTATTTAATCTATATCTATATATATGATTTAGGGAAGACAAAAACAAATAAAAGGCGTGTGAATTTACAGTACACACATCTGATGCCATTATAATTTCTTTCCACAAAAACATTAAACATCATCAGTTATCTGAAGATATAAAGAGCACATATCAGTAAATTAAGCTTAATTGCATTCTTAACAATAATTAAGAGTAAGTCAAGTATGAAATAGTTTGACTGAGTTATGGATATATAAAGTAAGTAGCCAATGATACAAGATCCTAATAACAAAGTCATTTAAAATTAATATTAAGAGATGCCAAAGATTACATCATTGATAGATACATTTTGCAGTTAAACTCCTTAAGCCTGTATCCCTTGTTGGAAGTTTAACCAAAACCTGGACAGCTACACATAAGAAAAACAAGTGGTTACGTCACAGAATCCTTATTTAAACACTGATGACCACATATGCATCTGTGCCATATGGGACCACCATAGACTGTATGGAACCACATGTGCCCACTGTCGCTTTACTTTAGCCCAGTCAATCATACATTTCTTTGCACTAGAGTGTCCAGGTATGTCCCATAGACTAAATATTGCATACCTTATTATATCATAATTATAACATTTTTATCTTCATCTTAATATAGAAACAGAGTCCAATGTTGGCGTTCTGCTAAACCCCACCATGTGCACTTGTATATTGTAAATAGTAACTGTAACTCTATTTTAAATTTAAATCTATTCTTTAGAAGTGTTTTTTATTCTTATTTTTATTATCTCTTTCTGACTGTTGCACTGAGCCAAAGCAATTTCCAAGTCTGTGACCTCCTGTTACTTACGTGGCAATAAAAATGATTCTGATTCTGACTCTGATTCTATGTCCACATATCAGACTGGTAAATTGTAGAAACCTATTGCTTATGTATTTGTTGTACACATCTTATCTAGGGTTATAATAGCACGTGTGTTATTTCTTTCAAACCATTTTCTCCTGCTCCAATCCCCGGCTTCTCATTGGCTGCGCACCACCTGTCAATGGCGCTCACCCTGATCACATGATCCAATCCAAAAGTGCTGCTATAATAAATGCGCCCAGGCTCCATTTGCGTTCAGGGGGGGGGACTCTGCGAAGTGACTGCGTGCGAGGAAAGCGAGGAAAGCCTGGAAAGCCTTGGGGCACAAACAATAGTAGCACATTTGATCATTTCCCACCAGTAAAAGCTTGTATTCTGACGCCACAGCCTCAGCCGCGCGCCCTGGACACTGGACTCCTCCTTTCACCGCCCTCCATCATCATGTTTACCTGAACATAACGGGACTGTACTAAACACCTGACGCTGCGTGGAGCTAACGGGACCCCACGGTTGGCTGGAGCCCGCTATTTGCTCGATCCAGAGGCGGAGAGTTGAGCTGGGGTTACGGGACAAGCGCGCTCGCAGATGTCCACTACTGCTTGTACGGGTAACGCAGTCATGATGGTGCTATTAGCTTTTAGCATACTCAAAAACACACTCACACACGCACGCATACACACACAGGCACACACATGCACACACACACACACACACTGCCTCACACTCACAAACACAGCACAAGCGCTCTTGCAATCATCCTTTGAATATGCCCAAACTGCGTGCGTAAAATGGATTGATTTCTTCACAAACTGGGCCAGTTCTTAGCCTGTTTGGCACGCTTTGGTACGGTTTGATCTGACTCTATTGTGCAGCGCTGATTTGTTACACAATTCGGGGCTAGCGGAAGGGAATGGCGGTCAGGGCTGCTGCAGGGGGAGGAGGAGGAGGAGGAGGAGGAGGAGGAGGAGGAGGATGGATGGGGCTCGCATGGACCAGACATCCTCCAGGTGATGCAACGCCTCTAAAGGTGCATCTGGGCGAATTTGTGTCTCCAATGAGAGGGCTGCGAGCCGAGGAAACACGGGGACGGGCTGGAGACGGTGTTTGGACCGTGTTTACAGTTGAAGTATTGTGAGGAGTGCTGGTTGTGTGCGTTGAGAGCCGTAGCGGGGGTCGTGCAGGCAAGATGGCTCAGCTTTGGCAGGTGTTGTTCTGTGATTCACGCACCCTGCTTCAGTCACGTGTTGGCTCATGGAAATGTAGGATGCTGTAATTACATGGAACTTATTCAAACAAAGTGTAATACATGTAGAATACCGTCATGATAACTCGTTGGATAGAACTTTCCTGGTTAGATATAGGCCCTGTGCATACAAAATATCATCTTTGCTAATGTTCCATTGCTGTTAATACGACTTTAGTTCAGTATTTCCTGGTGTAAATTATAATAGTAAGATGGTAGCCATTACAAAAAATAGAAAGGAACCTTATTTGTATGTATTTCAGTGTTAATGGCTTGTTATGAGGGCTACAGCTAGGTATGTTTATTTTTATTATTTATTATTGCTATTTACTTTTTTACACCCTTTGTACTTTGACTATTCATTTTAGAAACAAAAATCTTTTCTGAAACTATTCCCAACTCCTTCATTTCAGGAAATGTTGAAGTGGACTAACACAGTGCTGACTCTTCCCGATTCGAGCTGACTCTGACAAGTGTAGCAACGACCTATAGCAACCTAAGAGCCAATCTGAAACCAAATAATAGGTCCCCCTGAAAATCTATTTAAAAACGTCATCCTATTTTAAAACACGTGAGTCAATATATGAGTTTGACAGATGACAAACTTAGAGATAGACGTGAGAACGAGTAATTACATTGTAACTTATAACTGGTACCCCAGCACTTGTAAATAGTATAGTAGTAGCCTTTAGACATTTTTTGAAGATTTTACGTATTTTGCGCCTTCCTAGTTTGTGACTTCCTGTTACTTACAATGGCAATATAAATAATTCTGATTCTGATTAGCGCTCTGCCAAACTGACTGTTTTAGAGACACTGGCCCTGGGACAGACAAATGCTGTGCCTTCTTCTTTTGCCTGTCACAATGTTTGCCTTCAATTTGCACAATGTAAGTTAATAAATTAAAGCCAGGGTACCTAATTATTA